AATGCCTGAGTGGGAGGGTGGGGAAACGTGACAAAAACAGACTACTAGTGCTATCGTTATGACCGTGTTTATTGTTTGCGCCCATCTCAGATGGCAAAACATGGCAGCAAGGCACTCATTTTGTTAAAATGAAACTTCTCAACTCAATTCGACATGGTTCCTTGTCAAAATGAAGGGGTTCTATTCACTTCAACATAGTTCATTGGCACTGAGATGCCACAAGATGAGTTGGACCGATCCGATGATGTGATCAGAAATTGGAGCCAATCACGTAATTTTTTTAGTTGACTGGCATTGGCTGAAAAAGATTTGATTTTTTTATTTTTTAAAGTCAAGTTTTAAATAAGCTAAATTAAAATAGCTAAACTAAAAAAGGAGGGCATTGAAATTCAGCATTAAAACTTAGTGTCACTCCACCATGCTATCAAAAAAATTTTTTTTTACAATTACCTTTTCTAAATTTGTTAGATTACAACTAAAATGAAATAAATACAATTTAAATTCAGTATTAATACTTAGCATAATTTTCCAATGAATAACATGTATCTCCAATTTGTTTTTTTTCTTTTATAATTAAAAACAACCAAAGTAAAATTTTGTGGTTTTGTAAAAATAAACAAATAGACTTTTTTGCGGTGTATTTAGATAAAATTGTTTTATTTACACATATATATATATACTTGTATACATATAAAAGAAAATTCGCAATAATATGTGGTTTTCGGAAGGGTCACGAATTTTGAAGACATATTTTGGACAGCCACGTCATTATGCATTAAGAGGCAAATAGCAACATTTCCTATTGCGAATAGTCACATACCCCACCAGCATGAAGGTGTGGCACGACAGTCAATATGATTAAGGCAAACAGACAGGAAGCAGATGATCTTATTAAGAAAATAAAATCAAGTCAAAAAACCCTTTCACATTAAGGTGCCCCTCACGAGTTGATCTGTCAATAAATCCTGACAAATGCGCAACAGATGAGCGCTTAATCCATCTGTCCGTCCGTCCGTTCGTCCATCCATCCGTTCATTCATCCATCCATTCACCCTGACAACCAGATCCGTGCGGCTCACCTTTGTCAGCCGAGCGCCTCGTCGCCCCCAGCCATGAAAATCCTGCACCATATCGAGGCGAGATCCTGACACAAAAGGAGCAGAGGCCGGCGGAGAGCCGAGGCGGAATAACGGATGGAACGAGAGCGAGAGAGAGAGAGACAGAGAGAGAGAGAGGACAAAAGATAAAGGGAGGAGAAGGAGGACGGACCAGACAAGCCTGGAGAGGAGAGAATGTGAGCGGCGAGTGAGGGAGCGCCAGGTGTCAGGACGCATCCACTCAGCGAGTCGCGCTTCAGCTCACACGCACAAACACACGCAGACGGAAACAAGCTCGCACCCCCTCCTCCTCCTCCTCCACCTCCTCCTCCTCCTCCTCACCCTCATCCTCTGCTTCTTCCGCCAGCAGCAGAATTCCTTCACTCGTTCATCAACAGCTCTAATAGGGCTGAATAATTTTGAAAACTAATCTAATTGCAATTCAAGATGCAATTTTTTTTCAAGGTCCTCTTTCCATGTACTGTATTTTTTTTTTCCAACAAACACAAGGAATAAATTCATCTGTATTTGAACAAACACTATCAGACTTATGTATTATGCGCTGAACTGATAGCAAACAGTGAGGCAAATTAATAAAATAACCAGAGTGTTTCAGTCAATGGCACGATCAGCAAAGCTGGACCAAGTTCCAGAGAGAAAGAACAACGGCAATGGCCAAAGCATTATCATGGCATAGCCAAAAGGTAAGCAGAGCTGCAGTGTTAGCACAGATTGGCGTTAGCTTAAAGCGCTGCCAGTATTATCTTCTAAAATAATATGAGGCTAAGTTGCAAGGTTGGGGTGGAACAGTATGTGTTTGGTGATGTCACATGGCTACATATACATTTTGTGTCATATAGTGGGTTGGTGATGAAATGGCTGCATTTGATCATGCAACGGGATCTCAATGGACAAACGCTTTTATTGTGTATACTAGAAATTCATCAATGCCACTTTTATCAGAGTACAAGCGCTTACATTGAGCACTCGCCAATACCGAGTGTCGATATTTGATAGTGCTATTATGTCTCGCGGTTGTGATGAAAATGTGTGTGTATTTTTATCAATATTGTTCAAAAACACAACCTTGATTTGAACACGGTATATACATAGCGCTAGCTTACGCATATGTTAGCATATTATACTCTAAGTGTTTTAAAATGCTAGCTAGCTAGCTCCTGGGAAAGTAGACAACTTTAACGCTTGTATATGACAGAGCAAATAACTAATTGTATGAGTTCTGAATCGCCCAGTAGAGAATGAAAGTGTTCAATTTGAATGCCGAAGGCCCTCAGCGGGACAACAGGAAACGCCGACACCAGCGCGGCGATGACGCTGCAATCAAGAGCGCGGAGGAGGAAGAGGAGAAGACAGGCGCTGCATCTTCTTCTTTTTTTTGTACTCACGCCTCACACTGCCCACATGCTCCTGGTAAAAATTAAGCGAGCGCACTTCCCTTTTGCAAAAAAACTCACGTGTGGCATTGACACCATGGTACAAACGTCCCGATTAGGATACATTTCCACTTCCGGCCTAACTAGAAACAAAATATGACGCTGGATGACATATGTGCCTCAAAAGGTACATCAATTTGAAAGTAATGTGTCAAATAACTGTGAGAACCATTTTCTGGGGACGCCAACGAGCATCACACAACGGATTGTGTTTGACTCAGGAAGTTCAACTGTGATTTCAATATTCGTTATTGGACATCAATGATATTTTGCCCATTCACGCGAGGCCGCTGGGCCACATTCCCTCCATTCATGGCGTTCCTTCCTTGGTCGGCGTGGCACAGGAAGGAAGCAGAGCGTCTGTGGATCAGCGGGCGCCAATCTGTCACTCGCTGGATTCGGTCCAGTCGGTCCATTACGTGTGGAGTTGCCGCGCTGATGATTGCTGTGGCTCTGCATCATACCTTTTGAATATTTGGATCCTCTTGTTTCAGTTCAAAATATTAGAAATGGCTGAAAAGTACAAGCATGGTGTGGTGGCAACAGAGGTGGGTAGAGTAGCCAAAGTATACACATCGCGACTTTAGAAGAATATTACTTGTGCAAAATTAGTCATCCTCCAAATAATTGTTGGAGTCAGGATTCAGTGAAAAACGTACCGAGGAACTTCTGATTTATTTTTTTCAAATGAGTTTCAAATAGCAAAAACTAAAATAGCAATATACAAATTCAGATATTGGCCAAAAAGGTCACATCAACTGAAACGATAATACTCTTCATGAAATAACACATTTAGTCAAAAGAAACGGTCTTAAATTAAATTTCTTCGTACTCAGGAAACGGCTAAATTCACCGGGCAAATTCACCGCATTGTGTTTTCTCAAGTTCGTAAGGAATTTTTGGGGGGAGGCTGAAATGTTGTTGTAGTCTGTATGACCAGGGGTGTTTTTCTGTCTTTTCTGGCTGCCACTTATGTTTCATGTAAATTCGTCAATTTGAAAAGTTTGCTTCTGCGTGGGACGGGCCCATGGAGATTTGGTGAGCAATCAGTCATGTGACTGCCTAGCTCCGTGTAATTGGTAAAACGGAGTTGAATTTCGCAAATGGTTATGATGGTCTGGTGAACTTGTCAGAACAGCGCCAGAGACAGAAATATTCCCGGAAACCCCCCGCAAAACAAATAGGTTTCACTAGCAACAATGGAGAGCTACAAATAAAAGTAGGGAGTGGAATGTATCTCTGTGTCATGGACTAAGAGTAGCATTTATGAACAAAAATAATCAAGTAAAAATAAAAAAAAAAGTAGAAATTATCCAAATCAAATGTAGTTTGGTCACTACCCAACTCTGGGTGATACTACTGAAGAATCTTTCCTGATCTGTAATTAGCGTTGTCCTCCTCCATCTGGAGACGAGCCGTCAATTAGCGCGCCGCGATGCCGTCTCCTGTCGCTCTCTTCCTACACTTTCTACACAACTGGCTGTCTTTTCATTCAAGTATTTGGACAGGAATGTCAGAGGAAAATATATTTGTGTTCATTCACCTTTCAGCGAGAGTTAGTCACATCACTGAGTCGAGCAATCACAACTTCCTGTATCATAGTTCCGCACGTGCCTCCTGTCCCGAAAGCGCTACCTTCGACAAACCTACTTGAGCGAAACAGCACTTTATTACGGCACATAAAGTTTGCTCGGGCGTACATTTTCAACAACCGCGGCATGTTAAAAAAGCTGGCGAAACAGATTAGCGCTCAGCATTACAAATCACAGCCCCAAAAAAAAAAGGAGGTACATAAAGTATGTAAATCACGGTGAAGCATTGCAGTCACAGTTTGTGGGCTAGCGATGACTGATATCCCAAGCGTCTGGAAGCGGTTGTCAATTTTATTCCTTTTCTAAAAATCAAAAAACAACCGGATCAAGCTCATTTGCAAGACCGCAAAAACCAGCTGAATCCATCCAGAATTCAGAGCAGTCGATTGCGACGATAGCAGCGATTGATAGCTTCAGTTACTTTCCATTCGCCCTTAAACCGGGGCATAGCCTGCTAACTAACAAGCTATGATTGTTTTTTTTTTTTTTTTTTAAATTAAAAATTCTGCCTTTGTTCCCCTTTCAATAATCCAAACTAATTTGGGCTCCAGGCACAAGTGTGAGCATGTAGCGCCGAGCATGTCGCCGGCGTCCCTCCAGCATGCTAATTAGTTATGCAAGTGCTCATCAAGACGAGTCCACCTTCAACCCCATTTTCTAATTTTCCAATCAAATCCACGCCACAAGCTCTAATTGTCCCGTCTGACGGCTGAGACCCACTAGTCCGCCCCGTCCCCATGGCAACCTCTTAGTGACCGGATGCAAAAACGTAACTATCGATTCCAGAAAAGGTCCGAGCTTGGATAGCTTACGTAGCGAAACAACATGAGAGGACTGGCAAAAGACATTTGACTCACCACTGCTGCGACTCTTGCGGTTGGCCTTGCCCCCCGTGAGCAGCATCTTCAAGCTGTTCCGGAACATGGCGGGATGGCCGAAATGCGTCAGGCCGCACTGCACCGCAATCTGTCAAGGGGAGGAAGAGAATGATTCGTTTTTAATTGATTGAACGGAATTGATCTAATGCATGCGTGCTTGGGTTATTTAGTCGTGATGCCTGTAGAGGGCACACTTCTTTGAGTTGAGAGAAGAGAGAGAAGACAACGTTTATTTCTAATTCTCCAGCAAACAGTCCCACCGGTGGTTCGGGAGCCCAAAATACAACCGTTTTGCGAAACAGTAAAAGTTAGTGGTTCGCTTAAAAAAAATACAAGAGATATTTAAGAAATGCGCCAAACTTTGCACACAAATCAGACCTGGCAAAAAAAAAAAAAAAGATTTAATTATTGGTTTATTTTGTGTTATTTTATTTTTCTACCAGTTTGTTTTATATATTATATATATAGTGCATCCCTAATAGAAAGTGGCTTTCATTTTAAAAATATGTATTATTTTTATATTAATTTGTATCTTTGTTATGTATCTTTCATCATGATATTTTTCTTTTGTTTTTGATTATTCAATTTTTAAAGTATTTCTATAGATAATACAATTTTTTTTTCATAGATTCTTTTAATAGTCATTTTTGGAGGATTAATTTTTCATTTGATCTTATATATTTTTTTCAATCACTATTTTAGATACACGGTTATCATGTTCGTCCTCAGTTCCGCTGCACAGGATTGATGTGCAAGTCTGTTGTAATGGCAGGTCCGTGTGTCAATTTGAACGCCCCCTTTTCCCAAAATAATAATTCCACAAAGTGGGTCGCGTCGTAATGACCCCGTTAAAATGCGGGTCCCTGAGGTCTGACCAATTGCGGAGCGTAGATTCAGACCGTCGAGTTCATCCAAAGAAGATTGGGACTCGTGAGTGGAAGCCGCGATAATGCCAGGGTGGGCAACAAGGCACTAATCCACACGGAACAATAAGCGGCGTTGCTTTGATTGCACGTGAATGACGCACGATGATGTGAACACGGGAGGAGGCGGCGATGCGCGCAAAGTCCACTGGAGCGACGTCGACAGGCATTTGAATTTGCTCGCTTCATGCTTACAAACGCTCGGGAGCTTCTTGATATTCCAGAGAGACGGAGAGGCGAGAGGAGGAGGAGGAGGAGGGGGAGGAGGAGGAAGAGGATGGATTTGTGAGTGCTCATTTCGACTCTCTTTGACTTGGCGTTCCGGCCAAGTGAAGGAAAGCAGAGAAGCAGCATGCTCGGACGGCCAAAGTGCAGCAGCGGATGCGGACCATCTCGGGCGTGATTGGGAGCAGCATTCCGCTAAGGACTTTTTTTTTTTTTTTTTGACTCTGTAAAATATTTCTCAAGTTGTTCCGTTCATGTCTATTGTGTCAGAAATGCAATACAATGCAAAGCGAAGGTCGTTACCATGAATAATTGGCGAGGAAAGTGATCACATGAATCATCCGTTGGGTATGTGATGTGGAGCGAACCGTCGAATCGTGTTTGATTTTGTAGATTATTTCTCGGCGTCGTCTTCATTTCTACGGCGCAAGATGCTGGTTGGCAAAGGGGACGAATTGGATGATGAATCGATTAGAAGCAGAATTGCATTGTTGTATCTGAACGGTCGCTATAGGACGTTTTTATTTTGATTCTGTGGATTATTTGTGGTCATTCTTATTGATTGTGCAATATGACTGTTAAAATGAATAACTGGTCAATCGGATCAATCGCATGAATCATTACACGTAGATTGTGTGTGTATAATTTACCCGACACCTGCTGCGCACATAACTGAGCGAGTCGCCGTGAATTCATTTCCAGCTGCTCTGTTCATTTCTGATACGACTGGCGAAAGGAGTGTTGATGACATGACATGTACTGTGCAATGCTCACACCACCGATCGTGTCATAGAGCTACTTTGACTGTGTGGATAATTTCAAGTGCTTAAAACTATTTGTAAAGGAACAAGTGTCATCCAGTAATGACCGCACATGAGAGCCGAAGCGCGTCTGTGTCGAACAAAAGACATCCAAGCTTGCAGCAGGTGCAAGCAGGCTGCCGCCCTCCCCCCAAGGTCCTCTCGTCTGCCCCATCCATTAATTACTAAGCTTATTTACAATCAATAAAGCTTCTTTAATGGCAAAGGGCGCATTTGCAGGGCACCCCCATCGGATTTATCTCCCGTTACCCAACCCCGAACGGCCTGGAAATGAAAAGTCATCTGAGAGGAACACATGCAGAGGCAATCGGGAGCAGTTAGGCAAGCCACAGAATGCGCCTACCAGCCATCAGCCATCGTGTTGATGTTTTGGTTATTTTGTTTGCAGACAAAATGTTGCGTCAACAAAACACAAACACACTCTTTCCATGTAACTAAAGCCATCATTTAAAACCTTGACTTGAACCCCTAATTTCAAACCTGAACCCCGACTTGAAACGCTGATCCAGACTTGAAACCCTAACATCGATTTGAAATCTCTTTAAAATACCAACCAAGGCTTAAAACATTTGAGCCCTGACCCTGTCTTAAAACCTTACTTTGAAACGCCAGCCCAGGCTTAAAACCCACATGTGAACCCTGATCCTGGCTTGAGACCCTAACTTGAAACAAATTTTAAAAATCCCAACCTTGACTTAAAACCCTAATTTAAAACACTAAACAATCTTGAAAACATAACCAAAACCCTAATCCAAACTTGAAACGTGACTTTTTAACCCTATCTAAGGCTGAAAACCCTATTTTGAAAGCCTTACTCTAGTTTGAATCCCTAATTTTGGCTTAAAACCTGATTTTGAAACTCATACATGTGCTTCATACCCTAATGTCATCCCTAAACCTAACTTGAAACCCTAATTTGAAGCCCTAGTTTCAAGCCCGAACTTCAAACATTAACCTGACAACGACATTACATTTACAGCATAAAAAAACAACCAACCCCCAATTTGAAACCCAAACCGCAATTCGAAAGCCGAACCCTGTTTTGAAAAAGTACTGCCGGTCTCTGGTTCTTAGCCAAGTGAAGCGTTTTGGTGAGATACAACATTCAAGTTGACAGCTGAGCGAAATGAGGAACAACTATTGGCGCTCACGACGCAGACCTCCAATAAAAACAGTTAATCATCAACAAACTTTCCTCACAGAACATGCACAGACACTCCATTCTCATTCGTTTTGTCCCTTTTTTTTTTTTTTTTTATGAGCAGAAGGGAACGTTGTCAGTTTCACACACATTTTATGACTGGGAAGAGTGCAGCAAGAGGACAATGCTTCGAAATAAAAAGTGTGCTGCTGACGCATGAGAATCAATATCAGAGGGCCATCTGTGACCAGCACGCGGAAAACCACATTTGGCAAAGGTTTCGAGTTCTTCGTGTGTGTGTGGGCACGTGTGTGTTGACAGATGTGTTACACACACTATTTTGAAACTTAAACCGTGTCTTGTAGGCATGATTTAAAACTAAAAACTCAAGCTTGAAATGCTACACTGAAAGCCCAACCATGAATCGATCCTGTCATTTAAACAAGAAACCTTTCTTCAAACCTGGAAACAGTGCGGAACCCTGATTGAAACGCCTTACCTGGGCTTGAAACCCTGATTCAAAACCCTAACCCGTAGTTCCAAGCTTTTATCAAAACCCTGCAACCCTGTCTTAAAAACACAATTTGAAAACGAAATCAGCGCTTGAAACCTGAACACTGGATTGAAACCTTAAACCTGGATCGAAACCCTACTTTGGAAACGTAACCCTAATTTCCTATCCGACTTTGGAAAAACAAACCTTGACTGCAAAACCCAAAAAGGTTTTAACTGCAATTTGTAACACGAACCCAGACCTGAAACTTGAATTGGAACACTTTCTGTAGCTGGAAACGCTAAATTGTCTCTCAAAATCTTCACTTCAAACCCTAAACCGGCCTTGAAACCTTACTGCAGTTATTTGATTTGCAGCCTGAGCCTGAATCAAGAAACCAAAACGGGCATTGAATTCCCACTCGGCAAGATTAATCGAGATTGTGCGATTAATCTCGCTCGTAAATTCACTTCGCCCGCCGAGCGCTCGCTGCTCCACTTAACGGCGGCTCGGGGTCATGTGACACAAACGGCGCCGGGCTGATAGACAGAAATCTAATTGAAAACGTCACCTTTCGCCACCGAGGCGTCCGTTACGTTCGCTCGTTTGCATGAATTTAGCCGAGCCGGTCCGCCCTTGTGCCGCTGTGAACAAACAGGGCCGCCCTCAACAAACAGGGGCCGCCATTTAGGAGGAGGAGGAGGCGGAGCCCTCGCGAAATGGGGCGGGAAGGTCACCCCCCGTTCATGGCGGGTAATCAACGCTTGCAACACATTTGCATGAAGACGCTGGCCCGAATGAATGTGCGAAGCCCTTGAAAATGGACTTTCAGAGGAAAAAAAAAACCCAAACAAATAAAACAATAATAATAATAATAATACAAAATTAAATGAATTGCTAAAATCGATGACTCACTGAATGTTGGACTTTAAAAATTCCACTGTAGTCGTCCTGCCTGCTCCGGGTAGTCCTGCTGTACCTTTTTGGTCGTTTTAATATGATAAATTGTGGCGGAAAGGAATGCGACACTTTCCTGGGCCCATCTGTCCAATGATGAAGCGGCGGCGGCGATCTTTTTTCAAACAAACGTGTGCGCGGACGCTTCCCAAAGGAAGCGACTTGAAAGAATTCTCTCCGATGCTAACAGGACGGCTCCGTTTTCTGTTGACACTGCGGCGCCATTAAACTTAACGGAGCAATGGAAAGAGAGCGCGATTGAAAAGGCGAAAGTCTCTTTCGGTGATTTTAGGGAGTGGAGGAAAACTGATATTCTGCAAAGCTTGATTTAAATTTGTCTGGAAGACTTTTTTTTTTGCACGTAAATTAAGCAGACACAAGAGACGACGAACGAGTACAATGTAGGCGTTTGAAAAACGGATCAAGCTCATTAAATCGAGGTGATTATTGACACTGTGAAATACTTAAAAGCATTGCGACATAATACAAAATAATATAAAAACATGCATCATACATGAATGCAGTATT